ATCCACCAAAATGACAATGCGCTGAAAAACAAAAACAAGTTAGAACACTAAATAAAATATTGCAAATCATTCCAATCAGAAGATTACCAAATGATTGTGCCGCCAGCACTGGAATAGGCAACAGAGAAGTACCTCCTGCATTTCATCAGAAGTATCTGCAATTGTCTTCAGCGTCGTGCTATACCTGAAAGGATGAAGGCGGTTGAATCATAGAGTACACGAATTTTAAAGCTATAAGTGGAAGTACCTAGAGAGGGCAACAAATGTATGACTGAAGGACTTTGGCAGAAGTTTTCAATAGCACCTGAATTACAAAATCGTACAAGTCCGGCAAGAAATGACTAAATATAACTCACAGCGAAAAATATTCCAAACAAATCAGGATCGTAACGATTATCTCCGTCACGAATTTCAGCCATAATTGAATTGTCATCAGATCGATTTTGTATGAGAGTGAGGAATTTAGAGGCAGCTTCATACCCGGGTTGGTTCTCTGAAAGATAAAGGATGCAAAAGAAAAACCATACCGTTGTTCATATTAGACTTGAAGGGAGATTACGCACCGTCATCAAATTTACATACAACATCTGGAGGAGGAGGGATCATGGCAGCGAACGATGTGGGAAGGAATTCTTTCAACTGGCCATAGTAAGAGAGCCGGCGGCATCTCTCTATCACTTCACGTGCAAATATTTTCTTGGCATCCCATCTATCAGCCTGTGAAAGCAAAAGATATTAAAGCAACCTATCATGCAGAGCAAGCTGTTAACAAAAGAAGCATTTTATTCTCACGGTGAGGCAATCCTTCCAGTCATTCCATGACCAGCGAAAACCGAAATTGGATAAATGGAAACTGAACCAGTCAACAAACCTAAAATAAGTGCCTTGCATTAAGAGTAGAATATTAGCAACGCTCGAAGTCCACGCAACCCAACAACAACCCAACAGTAAAGGCAAGGTTTCCTTCTAGAGACTTGATTAGATGGTGACTGATTCCGCAAAACAGTTGCAGGAATGGAGCCAATTCACAAGCAAAACAGATTACTGCAGAGATGGTTTCACGCAAAAAGTAGCAAGAGGGACATACCTGTCTAGGCATAAAGGCTGCATAGTAGCAGCACGCTGATACAAAAGCTCGGCAGCTTGCGCCAACACTTGAGGCATTGTTGATGATTGCACTCTGCACAAGTCCAGAAGTACAGGACCTGCAACACTTTCGTAATAATAGTGAGATAGAAAACTTGTTCATTGAACAAAGATTGAAAATGAGCTTCTAAACGAAGAATGAATACGAACAATATCAGCTTCAGAGTATAAAAAGAAGATAGAATGTGTCAAAACTTGTTTATATTTTGAGTTTAGAAGCTTCTTGAGGTTGAAAAGTTTACTAACAACCGATTGTTTGAAAAAAGGTATTGAGCTATGGATACTGCCTTACTTGCCTCAGACTTCGCCATTCCTCACGCACAGACTCGACGTTTTTCTCGAACGACTAAACCACGCAGGCAAACTTAGATCCAGTGTCAGAATTTTTTTGGTCTCAGGACCGTTCCTCCCTTACAACGTGGCGCGTTCACCATAATAAGCAGCGCTTATTGTTAGATGGAGTGTGATAGGGGCTGCACAGCGTATAAGTCAAAGGTCTTCAGTCCGGTCTCGCACTTCTTTCTGGCAATTTTTTTCCGAGAAACGTGGCTTTTTCGTCACGAAGCGAGTTCACGGAATCACTTTTTCTTCCTCGCCGAGTCAATGCACGGCTTGGTACAGGTCGCGATTGGTTGGCGGAAGTCTGCTGTTACCGTATGATCCCCAAGATGTCGTAGAACATTCGCTATTAGTCACATTACGATTGGTTGTCGTTCTAAGAAAAATCCAAATAAAAAATGATATGGCCAAGAGTAGCCAGTTTTGTACTCTCAGATGTTCTCCTCTTTCGAATGAATACACAAGTACCTCTTGAGATTCGAAAGCTGCCCAAAAGGCTGAAAGGAAATCTATGCGACATTCATATTGCAAAAAACCACACATCACTTATTTGACACTGCTGGCTTCTCTATGCGATCTGGCGAACTAAGAACAGGAAAAAATGTAAAAAAAAAAATCGGGACTTATTATCATGATGAGACCAATAAAAATCGTTCGAAGACGAGAGCAATGATGATGAGCTGATGAGAAAGCTCCCATGACAAAATTACATAACACAGAAGAATGTTAACATTACGATAGAAAATGCGAACACGTACAACATACATACCGTAGAAACCAGTTGGCTGCGGCGGAAGGGGGAGACGGAATAGTTGCGAAAAGAGCACCTCCAAGATCATGTAAGCAATGGGAACGTTAGCACCACGAGCATAATTAGTCAACTCCTGCGCACTGAAAATAACAATAAATAAAACCGATTGAAACTCAAGTCAAAGTAGTAACAAAATGGAGAAGTCACTGAAGAAAAATCGCTCCTGAATCCGGTAATCAGACGCATCTCTCTATCAAAAACTAGGGAAAAAAGATATCACTTCTTCTAGGTAGTATGCTATTCCTACAATAAAACCGTCCTGCATAAATATTTCTGGGCCGACGACCAAGGTATCGCTACTGCTAGCCAAACATTGAGCACGGAGCCCCAAGAGCACATCTCTTCACAATTTCGATGATGTGTTAAGTCGATCGTTTAAACGTATAATTAGGAGAAAAAAAGAACTAGAAAATGTGAACGGCAACTTTTCTACTAACTTCTACCAACTGTTTCTAACCAGCGCACTCACCATATTTTTCTATCGCTGGCATTGAAGTCGATAATCCAGTTCAGTTCTTCTTCTATCAAAAATCGTTCTATCGAATGAGCTCCAGGAAGTACGGTACCCTAAAACACATTAACATTTTCTCGCATCAGTAAATCAAAACGCTGTCAGAACCTGAAATGCACGATTTGCTAAAACAGTTAACGCTAATCGTGTAATCAAAAAAGGACTTTTAACAACAATCAACTAATTGTGCATAAACTCCAGCAGAGAACACTTTATATGAGGAAGAAAAAGAGAAGGAAAGTAAAACGAAGCAAGCTTACATCTTCCGGACAATCTGCGTAGTCGAAAAGTCTGAACACAACCATGGGCAAAGGATAATTCGATTCTTCTTTGTGGATAGGCGGTGAGAAGCTGAAAGCTTAAGAAATAGAAGAACAGAATACTTGCAAAAGTAAATTTAAGACTTGCATAAACTTATGATACGTCAGTTACGACCAGACCTCGGTAAATTGTGTTGCAAAGCATCTTGAAGAGCAGCGTCAAACGCAACATAATGCCTCGCAATTTGCTTCTCCTTCCAGCCTACACCTTGCAAAGATTTTATCTGAGCTAACAAACAATCTAGGTAGTCTTCTTGCTCATGAGGTGAACTGGAACTCCAAACTTGCAGCATCTAAAACGAAAATTTAGAGCACATTTGATCATGAAAGGATCACATCTCCACATTACCTTCAGATGGACTTTTCTCCTCCCTTCTACATACTTGCTGGCTCCCTCAAGGATGTTTTCCAATTCGTCCTTTTTCTTTTCGCTCAACTCCAATCCAATCCATGGAAGAACGCGCAGAACTACGTAAACAAACCAATCTGTACGCGCCTAGAAATTGAAACCAGAAAAATAGATACGTATTTATGAATTTTTGAAGAAGCAACGGGAAGGAAACCAACTTGTGGCACATTCTCTTCAAAAACACATTGTAATAAGGCCTCGAGGAAACTCTACAATTGAACTCAAAGTGAGCACTCGGCTGTTACCCAGGTCGCAGAGAAACGTTATCTAAGAAAGAACTGATAATGAAATGAACTTTAAAAATAACCCTCTCTAGAGCACAAGAACGGTCAACAAGGTTAAACGATTCCATATGAAAATATAACGTGAGCAAACCCACGATGAACATTGCTTGCTGGAAATCTTCACTTTCCAACTTCTCCTGAAGGTCAGAAACCAACTTCTCAACAATCTGAACATAACTTCTTATCAAACTGCAACTTAGAGATAGTTTTAGTGCAACATACCTCTCCGCCAAAATTGAAATTTTTTGCATTTAACAAACCAACAAGTGTAGAATATACAGTAATCTTGTCGGGTAGTTGACAGACACTAAACGAAACATGAGGTACGGTTAGTGGCGCAAAACAATGACTTACCAACGCGTAACAATCTCAATAATTTTTGTCCTGTATTTATCGAGATCCGATTCCAGTAATGAGCATAAACTCTCCAAATTACTTTCCAAAGAAGAGCTGCCAGTCTAAAATTTCGAAACATTAGAGCCCTGAGCTGAGCAATCGAAGCTGAAGGAAAAGAAACGGTCCAGATATCTTCGAGCAACTGAAGCTATGAAAATTCATCATTAGCGAATATGAGGCCAAGGTGCTGTGCACAGTGATGATACAGCGGTTTGAGTCGAGATTACGTAACTCAGCCTTCTTTAAAAGCTGTAGGAATGAAGATATCGGTGCTCTCTACTTAAGAACAAATTTAGCGATTTCAAATGTCATTTCGAATGGATGGGTAGAAAGATGGACAACCTGCGGCGATATCAGTCGATATTCAACACGAGTAAAGGTCATAAATTGGTCAGGAATTCGGGCACATGTTAAATATCAATGATACGGCAAAGGGAGTCACTTACGCTCTCGTCCACTCTTATAATGAGATTCTGGAGTCTACGTTCGACTTCGTCGTACTCAGGCATACCACGCCGTCTTTTAAGACGGGTCGGCGATCGTCAGGATCTGGGACACGGCGAAACAAATGTGCTGGTGGTCATTTATGGAATCACCAGAGGGTTCGCTCTGTGGTGCACTAAAAATTGAAGATAGCTACCATCACCGGTCATTAGCCTCCGCGGGCGTTAATCATGTAGGGTGGACGAACTGCCCTCAAGCGAGGAGCTGAATTTAGCCGGTATGGAATACATTTGAATATGAAACTACAAACTGCTTAAACAAAAGGAGAACAAAAACACTTGCGTCTTGAGACGAGTAAGAATACGGAGGGACTGTATGAACACTGCTAAAACCGACGGTAACATAAAAACGGGAGCGGAATGATTCATATCTCGCCATACGACACATAGTGATATTGGCAAGCATAAGCAGATATGATTGCGAGAGCAACGCAGCGAACAGATACAAACACGTTTTCCACTTTTGATACTTTATTCATAAGTTTAAAAACGAGCTTCCTCCAGGATAAAAGCATTTGATTGACCGCTCTCCAGTGACGTACAACAACTCGGAAATAGTGGGCGTTGGTGTAGATCCTCGAACATTTACGACGATCTAGAATTGAACCGTGGAGAATTTCATCAACAGAAAGCTCAAATTTTTGTAAAACCATTCGCAACAGGCCATCAAAACATATCTTTTTTCCAAAAAGATACGCCAGTACGGATGTGGGACCCAGGACAGAAAACGACTTTTCCGCTTCGCAGGGAGAACATTTCGCGTCTCAAAAAGTGAAAAAGTCGCTTCTTTTCCGAGTAACCCACACCTCGCCGTACACAATAAATGAAAACAAAAAATCTTACCCGTCCCGAGACATCCTTGCCAAATCCTGATCCAACTGGAGTAACTTCAATAACAAAGTCAGCTTTGTTGGTCATCATAGAGAACGCTTTAGTCTTCAATGAAAACAAGGCCAACAACAGACCATTTGCTTCTAACCTGGGGAAATGAGGATGAGATGACTTCCTGCTTTAGTATATGTGATTCACCTGCTGTATAGTTTATAGAGCAAACGGACGACAGTGGACGCTTGTACATTCAGCCTTTCCAGGACGGAAACGTCATCGAAAATAAGTAGAGATAACGAAATCTCTGCATCCAAAACCTAGAAGAAGCATGTTAATTTTGACTTGTTTTTGTTTGTTAACTGCTGTTTTTGGCCGCAGTTCGCCTTGCGAATGTTTCACAAGAATGCTGGGTTGTGAACAAAACTTTCGCCCCAGGCGGGACTAGAACCCGCACCTCTCGCTTTCCGGGCAAGTGCGCTACCAGTTACGCTACCGGGGCACCATTTCATCCCAACTCAGCTTTTCGTTGGTTGGCTAACCGGCTCAACACGTTACACGTGTGAGGTGTGAGTGCTGAAAAACTATGGCAAACATATCATGAAAAGCTGAGCGAGGGTGTCCGAACTTGTAGCGCACTTGCTCACAAGCGAGAGGTGCGGGTCGAGTTTCGCCTCGGACGAAAACGTGTTCATAACCAAGCATTCTCGTGAAGCATCAGTTAATGTTTCCAAGTGGACACGAACAGAACAATCGCTTTCTGATCACAGAATTATTTCAGAACATATTTACGAGTCTATTGGTCTCCTCTTCCCGTCATACTGGTTTTTGCAGATACAATTGTTGTAAATGCCGCTTGGCAGGGTGTCTTTAGTTACTTTATACTGAGCGAACTTGCGTCGTGTGCTGCACACATGAACATGGCACCACGGAAAGGGGAAGAGGTACTTCCGCAAGTATCCCTCTTATGACACACTGGCCGCAGTTAGTTTACAATTGTACGATTGCACAACCGGGGGGGGCGGGTGGAATAGTAGCTATTGCAAACGATCCCATGGTGCGGTGTGCTTACGATTGAGCATGCATTAGCTAAACCTCACGCCAATTGAAGGTTGGAGACTCGCTCGATCGGAAGTCGGTTGCAAACCCTTTAACAGACCATGTACGGTTAGGGTTTTCGCCTTGTAGGAAGTACTTCACCAGAGGTCAGCTTTATTATGGCTTTAGCAGTCACATTTATACATCCGCGACTTCCCCCGAACAAACTCCACACAGACTTTGCTATGGTCAAACAGAATCTTGGGAGGAAACCATGTCAACCATGCTTACACAAGCACGCACACTCTTGACTTGATTATCCATCAACTTTGGTTCTCTTATACTTTTAATTTGGATGAGAAATGGAAGTTTAACATAAAGTGAAAAAATTCTAGCTACACTCCACTATAAAAAAGTTGTAAATGCTCCAAGTTGAAAGGAAAGTCGCTACAAATGTCTCAAGAGGTGACTTTGTCGCATCAACCAATAACAATTAGGTTTAGAGCTAGGCGGGATAAAGCGGAGCGCATCAGAGTATGTGCGGCCAGCTCAATCAGTTACTTGGCTACCAAGGGAAGCGAGCTGTGCGCTTTCACGACGCAAGGTTCGCTGGTTGCTGAGCAGGACTTCGAAAGCACTCCGCCCCCAAAAGCGATCCGCCCACTAGTTTAGTTGGTAATTTGGACGAGCTGCGTTGCCAGCAGCGGCACAATTGGAGCAATTAGATAGGGCTGGGTTTTGGCATGATGTTACCAAATGCGCTGCACTGAACTCGTCACAGATGTTTCCGAGTTGTCACCTGCGCATGAGCGAAACCTACGTCCAAAAAGGGCGTCATTTTGCGTTCTTCTGACGGATTTCTCCGCTTTTTCCCCATAGACGTACACTTGAGAACTAGCACGTCTCCTCTAAACCCTTTTTAAATTATCGTAATCGCTACCTTTAACAACCTGCTGGTTTAGCATTGATGCCGTACGAATTGAGCCACGACATCAATTATTGAAGGCTACCTCGTTTAGTTTTCCGACAATGTTTTCTTCTTTACTGTAGAGATGAGATCCCAATAAACTATCGAAATCGAGAACAGAGATTAGCGAAGGATCCCATCGTAGTGCCAACTTACTGAATATTACCCTAAAAATGTTAGTGTGAACAGTCACTTCCCAATAGTTAGTCTGACCAACAGATTGAATTAAATTGTACCTGTAATTTGCTTCGCTGAGATTACTGCTAATTATTACTACTCGCTTTTTAGCTTTGAGAAATAATGAACAATAGTGGAGCTGAAGGAAGAGATCAGAAGAAGAACCCGACGAGGTCACCAAGGCAACACCACTGTTAACACCAGCTATTCGCGAGAGAGGATCGAGCATTAGCGTACAAGCTGGAATATGAAAATGTGTCAAACATCAGACTACTTGGCACACAGCAATGAGAGATTGACTACACAGAATTGACTAGATCAACAGCAAACTCTTGATAATTACATTCCAAGATTTCCACAGAAATAGTGGCGTGGCAACACACCAACGCCAAGTTTTCAAAATTACATGCGCAAAATGCTATTACGCGTGAATCATAGTGTGCGGGCGCAGTTGCGGACAACGTTATGAAAATGAAGCGAATTTAATTGAAAAATCACTTTATAACTTTGCGTTCGTTTTGTCAGCTCTGTGGATTTTTAACTTTGTTTATTTATACAGGTTTGCCATGGTTGCGGTCAAACAACAGCTCGTGATTAATGCCAAGCAGGGAGAAGTACCATATGCTGCCGCTCTTGCTATTGCTTTCGGAGGTTATAATCCATGCCTCTCCATTACCTTTAACGAGAAGGAGCAAATTGGTATGAACATGTAAGTTCAACTCGTGCATTTTCAGCAGATTCATAGCTGATACTAGTGATACTAACATGGGAATTCTGGGTGAAATGTTCGCCTTTACAAGGTATGGTAAAATCAACTAAGCCAGCATCAGAGTTGGCGATAGTACATGCGATTAGGTCATTAGGTAATTACTTCATAAGGAAAACGATACGTATCGTTAGACGGTTAGTCTGGGGCCGTAAGGTATGCTTCCCCGAACAGGAGAGGACCCCTCCCTGGTAAGGTATGCTCTCCCCGAAAACTCTCGGGAAAGGCAATGCCACCGGTTCTCGGGGATGTCTCCCGGACTGCATGTCAATCACGGGGATATCTCCCCGATTGCATGTCAATCGGGGAGATATCCCCGAGAACCGGTGGGCGTGGCCTTTCCCCGAGAGTTTTCGGGGAGAGCATACCTTACCAGGGAGGGGTCCCTCTCCTGTTCGGGGAAGCATACCTTACAGCCTCTGGAAAGGAGGAGTAATCACTCTGACTATTCGTTCTCCAACGATCACAAATCCTAAGTACTGCTTTAGATAGTTTATCAGCAGTGAACTGGGTATTCAAAATAGGAGTAATCACTCTGACGTTCTCCAACGATCACAAATCCTAAGTACTGCTTTAGATAGTTTATCAGCAGTGAACGGGGTATTCAAAATAAGCTGAAATTCCTTTTCATTGTCATCTAGAGCATTGTGCAAGGCTATTCTAATAACGAGCGAGATGGCGCCACTGATTTCGTAATGTTTTAGTGATGGCATTGTTATTAAAAATGACGTAACCATCGCGAGAGTTGTTTCGCAAAGCCTCGGCATTCCTGAATTCTCTGGGTCTACGTGTTTCGAAAGTTTGAAGGTGGGTGAACATAACTTCGATACGTAATTAACACGTTGGCGACGATGTCGGTCAATGCTGACCGACAGGCAGTCTGTCACATGGGACGATGTCGGTCAATGGTGACCGACAGCTTGAAAGTAAGCAAACTTAGATGGAACCCGCGACTTTTCTATTTCAACGTTTACTTCAGTGTCCTAACTTACTACACTTGTCTGCGAATTATGATCTTTCTAATTCCTGGGAGTTTTATTCTGAATTAGTTATCAGTGGCAGAAACGCGCTGTCAATTGAATCACAACCACAAAGTTCCCACCGTCAGCAAACTGGAAATCTCACTAAAATTGTTCATATCGACCTTTACTAATTAGGTCACCGTCAGTAGAATGTCCATTTCTAGCCTTAGGTTCCCATGATGGTCAAGTAGGCTCAGTCTTACTCATAGGCAGGACAAAAGTACCTATCCAGTCCATCAACTGCCAAATATTTCACAAACAGGTTTTTTGACCTTGAAATGACTCGTTTAAATCACTTATTCGATCATGAAGAACAAGATAACAGTCAAACAAAAGCTCATTCCGTCAGGTACGCAAAGTTTTTTGCGTCATTCTTGAGTGAAAAATTCGTAGAAGATTTCAGATGTGATCAGGATACCAGTACCATCTAAAGGAAAGCTCATATTAATAATAAAAATGAAGAATGCGTGAAATTGCGCCTTCAGAACCTATTCTAACCTGAGGTTTGAAAATGCCAGGCGATGTCACTGAAATTTCACCCAGCATTCAGTAGTAACAACTTTTCCTTGTTTCTAAACGTGTCTGGAGTACTCTAGTCAAAGGCATTTTGTGCATTTCGAGATTTTACAGAGCTACAAAATAAGTTTTGCCCTGTTGTTACCGGCGCTTTGCATGCAAAAAACGCCTCGTCCCATGCGCGCGACAAGGAAAAAATCGCTCGTCGTCAACGTGTTAAAAAAAATTTGGGCCTTCAGAGGCACGGACAACGAAAGCTATCCAATTTCAAGAGCGACGAGCTGTTGACTTTATAGTGGAAAAGGTGTCATGGCTTAGTCTGATAGAACGAAGTTGGATCTTCGGTGCAGCTTTTTACAAATCTGGCACGATTGGTGTTGAAAGGGCGCGTTACTATTGCGGATGTTGCTTTATGGAGCCTGATTGTGAAGAATCCATCAGTAGGTTTCGCCACTTCCCGATGCATTTGTTCTGCTGGATCAATGGTTTTCATTCAGTTGCAAAAGAAATTTCCCGCGTTGTTCGATGCTATTGTTGAAGACCAACAGATTTCTTGCTGCTCATGCGATGGTTGGGAAATTTGTTGATACCGCCAAAGTCGTGAAGGTGATTAGTAGGGTCTTCTATATTGAAGGTTTTTTTTTGCGAACTAGCTGGTATGTGGAGAGCCTGGAACACAAAATTTTATTGGTTATTTTTTAGCCATCAGCAAAGGAGAAACAACGAGATGAGGGCAAATTCGTTGAACTGCCGGGAGCAGAAAAAGGAAAGGTGGTAGTACGATTTCCACCAGAGGCTAGCGGGTAAGAAGTGCGATTTCCCTTGAGAGTATTTTTCTGTAATGGATATTTCTCAGATACCTACACATTGGACATGCTAAAGCCGCTCTGTTGAACCAGTATTACCAGCAAGCTTTCGAAGGCCAGCTGATTATGCGATTCGATGATACCAACCCTGCTAAAGAAAACGCCCACTTCGAAAAGGTTCGTTACAATTGAAGCTTTTTGATGTTGACTGAAGCATCATCTTAGGTGATAAAAGAAGACCTGGCCATGTTGAACGTGGTCCCTGATCGATGGACTCACTCCTCCGATTACTTTGAACTGATGTTGCAAATGTGTGAGAAACTTTTGCGAGAAGGTAAAGCGTACGTGGATGACACTGACACGGAAACAATGCGCAAGGAACGCGAGGAACGCATTGAAAGCAAAAATCGAAACACGTGTGAGTTTTCTCTGCAGTTTTGGGTTGATAGAAAATTTCCTGTCATTCTTCTTCTCCATGATTAGCTCCTTGCTTATAACTTGAACCTTTGTCGTCATTGGCTTTAAACTCGGCGAAATGTCCCATGAACCGCATCTTTACCTCATGGTTATTTACATATCGAGCAGTTGCGCCGGGTTTTGTTTCGAGCTTACTTTACCTTACTCTCATGCAATATTCGTAGTTTTTTCTCTACTCGCATAAAAGTTCCATACGAAACAACATGGAGTTGTTTGTATGTGAAGTGAAGGCGGAAGATAGCGAATCTTCCAGTTTCATTAAAATAAACTTCAGAAGCAATTGCACAAAAGGCGGGAAACTTCTGGCTCGCGATCGCTCACTGGGATCGGTATTCACTCTCTTTTGAGTTTCTATCCATATTCGCTGTGAATGAACCCGTTTCAGCTCCAGAGGCGAACCTCGCGTTGTGGGAAGAAATGAAGAAGGGAACAGAAAGAGGATTGCAATGTTGTGTGCGCATCAAAATTGACATGCAGTCTAATAACGGTGCAATGAGAGATCCAACAATTTATCGGTTTGTGTGTTGAAATGTAGAAATACGTAACTTTCCCAAAATCATTCATGAGCAAAGGAGTTTAGGTGCAAACCAGAAGAACATGTACGTACTGGAATGAAATACAAGTAAGATGCTTGGCTTGTCTCTTTTTTTCGTTTTAGTGCAGCTTCTTTGAATTTACTATGTATTATGTGGTTCTATTTGAATGTATACTGCTTGATTCCATTATTTTAAATTTGAAGGGTATACCCAACCTACGATTTCGCTTGCCCAATTGTCGATAGTGTGGAGGGCGTGACCCATGCACTACGTACAACAGAATACACTGACAGGTATATTGGAGGTTTCTTGGCATTTTTTCTACGGTTTATGGTGAAAGCCTTGGAACTTCAGAGATGATCAATACTACTTCATCTGTGATGCAATTGGCCTTCGCAAACCATACATTTGGTCCTACGCACGTTTGAATATGACGAATACTGTTATGAGTAAGCGCAAACTGACGTGGTTCGTCAATGAGGGGCTCGTCGAAGGCTGGTAAGTTTTCCTCTGTTAAATGGCCAGTGAAATACCCAACTCATAACCTATCTAGGGATGATCCGCGCTTCCCCACTGTACGCGGTGTTATGCGACGAGGAATGACGGTTGAAGGTCTGCGTCAGTTTATCATAGCCCAGGGTGGCTCGCGATCGGTCGTCATGATGGAATGGGACAAGATATGGTCGTTTAATAAAAAAGTTATCGATCCTGTAGCACCAAGGTAAATATCCTACTTGGCTGTTCATCCTCAAGTTGTTCCCTGTATAAGCTCATTTTAGGTACACAGCTCTTGAAACAACGTCACTTGTACCAGTTTTTATCTCCACTCCGGTGGTAGTCGAAGAAGTGCAAGTTCCTCTCCATCCGAAAGTATGTAAATAAATCATTTTGATAATTTGATGGTAGGCTATTGAATTTTTGCGCGGTGAACTTGGCTAGTCCATCGCAAATATGCAAAGATCGAATCACAAGAACTCGCAGTGCTGTTTGCTTATGGCCGAAATCAAGAACATAATAATAGTCCAGTCCAAACACAGCTTTTTACCTACTTTTTGTTCTCTCCCTGTCAAATTTACAACTACAATGGGCTAAATTTAGAATGTCGACGTCGGGAAGAAGAGTGTCTGGCGCAGCGCAAAATTGTTAGTGGAACAAGTTGATGCCCTC